CTAAATGTAATATAATATTTTTCATTAAATGTATTCTATTATATGTAAATGCAATAACTTGTTATTTATTCAAAGTAATATGATGCATTCTATTAAAATCAAATCAAATATTATACCACAATATATATAAGACATTGTAATATTTTAAGTGTAATGTAACTTATATTTTTATTTCATTTGATTTGCAAAGTGTAAAACAATATTTTGAATATCATTGCCAACTATAAAGGAGTAACTTTTCACATTACATAAAAATCAATTGTTATTTTAAAGTTCCTTACATTTTTCTGAGTATTACATTCCATTAAGTCATAGTTCCAATAATTATATTCTGTGTTACACCTGTCAGCTGGATAATTGTTTCGTGGTTCCAACATGTTGATGTTGCGTTCAACCACGTTATTCTATAAAAAAAAAAAGTAGTTGATTTCGTACTAGAGCTAAGTTTAAATAAATACTTTACTATGTTACAGCAATACGCATCTGTTTCCATTATATACATGACACTTTATTAATTATTACAATGTGCATTAATATATTAAAATTCTTATTGTCACAAGAAGATTACTATCAAAATATATTAAAATTATCATGTACTTTCAAACAGCAAGTATGACATTAACTTTCAGTTAATCAGAATAAATCTATTCTTTCATTTATATTCTGATATCAAAACCAACAATTTTAAATTTAAATCCGTTATGAGCAAAATTATAATGTCGTATACATCGACAACGAACTAAAATCGAATCGTTTTTAGCAATTAAATTATTAAGCAATTATAATCGATGCTATAATTTTTTTGTAACGCATTACACGTTTTCTTTTTTCGTTAGTTAAATAATATGTTTTAAATAATAATATTACACCTTTCTTTGCACGCTATGTTGGAATTATCGCGTTGTACTTTGCAGTAGGGGAAAATGAACGTCACTTTTTCGGCAATGAAGTCAGAGACGCGGTCGCTTACCTTGCTAACAGTAAAACCATTGTTGCCGATAATTGCAGCTAAATTGTGCACCTCGGACAGAGCCATTTGTTAAAGATCACTAAAAATCACCTCCACTCCTTGCCATCACCCTTTCACTTGTGCGGCTGTCTTCCAGCAGTATGCACACCCACACCAACCTACACTTTCTTTAAACGCAGCTTGCTAGCATCTCACGATGCACATTAACGGTGCTACTATGAGAGAGCAGAATATAGATGGAACTATGGTTATTGTACTATATATACGCGCTATACTGTATATGCGTATATGCTATATGCAGTCGTGTAGTCAAGTGCATTACGTATGAATGTTTAGTCAACATCGAATGTGCAATATGTTTCGTCAATTTTTATTGACTTTTTGCACTGTGTACTTTATTAGCTAACTGAACGCGACATGCAAGTAAAAATTGTCGTTCTTCAATCGTTTCAGAAATATAGCAAACAAAAGATGTTTCCCCTAGAAAAGTATGTCTGTTATTACTAAGCTTCTGAGCGCGTGCGCAAATGTGGGAGTATTCGAATGTCCTTATGTTTTGCAAGTTATAGAATATATGTTCTTTAATTAAAAAATGTTATTTTATTAATATGACGAAACAGCATATAGGAAAATAGAAGCTTTTGGGGTTGACGATATATAATAATTTGACAATTTTAAATTGTAGCACGTAATAAAACAACATTCGAATCTATTTCTTAATAAAATTCATTGAAAATATGTCATGTGTACAAATCGTAGATTGTATGTGCATTTTATTATATATAAGTATACTGTTTGTACAGTTTTATCTTCTACTTCGGTATCCTTGTTTAAGGAGCCATACTTATTTGCAATACTAAGTATTTCTCGTAATGTATCATTTTCTTTTTTTAAACTACAGTCCATTTTTCTTTTTTCTTTTAATTCATATTCCTCATCTAAAGCAGCTGCAGTTTTCATTACTGTTACCATTTCATTAATCGTGTTCGCTTGACTCGTAATTATCTACAATTTTACGTGTAAATTATTATTAATTATCGGTAATAATAAATAATAAAATTTCAGTTAACTTCTTCATTTAAATCAGTAATATAAAAGATATAACTAGAATTGTAACTTGTTATACTCACATTAGCATATTTAGCATTATGCAATGAAGCAAGATCTGTTTTACAGAGACGCAATAAAGATGCTGTTTGTTCCCTGTATTTAGACATAATTAATTCAAGAGCAAGTTGATGATTTTCCAATGCTTGTTTTAGTTCCTTATTTTCTGCTTGCATTTCTTGCAAATGTTTAATCTCTCTTTGTAATCCTGTGACTATTTGTTTATGTGGCTTTTGTTTTGCTTTTGTGTTCAAAATTTCTACTTCCTCTTTATACTATAAATGTATAATAAAAAATATTGAAAAATATAAAATTCACTTGTATCAATCTTTCAAAATTTTATCAACAATATTAAAGCTTTCAAATTATAGAATTTTTATATTTTTTAATTCAAATTAATATGTATAAATGAACACATGTACATAAAAATTTACGGAATATCATTTTTGATAAACAAGATGGATAAATATTGATTTATTTCTCACATGTATATTTTTATATTACTTTTGTTACATTTATAGGATGTTATGCTACAGAAATAAAAATTATTTACCTGTTTCATATTATCAATTTGACTACAGACCGATTCTATTTTACTTATCAAGTTATCTGCTGTATTTTCATGATCTGATATTCTAATCACTAACTTTTTGGCATCCAATATGATTTGTTGAAAAGTTAATGACATCTGTAAAGGTATATAAATATAAACATAATTTTCTTATAAATAAATTTAGGCATTAAAAAATATAATTATCATATTAAACATATATCCATATTTATGTAGTGTTATCTTTTATTTACTTAAATAACACATCATTATACATGCTAATTCTACATTTGTTTTGTACATTACGCTCTAAAAATATGTCAACTGAAGTTTATTATCTTACATGTAATTATTGCGTTATAATGTTATAATTTATTACTAATGTAACTGATTTCTAGAAAATTTCTAATTCTTACGCTACTTTATATTAATATAATATTTACGTCAATATATCATAAAGTAATTGTCATGCAAACAAATTTATACTAAAGAGTAATACACTAATGAGTATTGTATTGGTTTAACATAAATATATACAATATTCACATAAAATTTTTTTGTCATACGCGTTGTTTTTAATCATAATTATATATTATAAACGTATTTGTGGCAGTTTATAAACCTTGTAAGGCAAACCAAATAGGTTATATCCGTATTAAAGATGTCAAATATGCATTCTACATTTTTAAACATAATATTTTTATATTTACCTCTTGTTGATAAAAAAAAACTTTATAGTACGAAATTTCGTAGAAGTTTATTTGTTAATTCATCCAGTTTTGTATGATAAATTAATAAAATCAACGTCACATGAAAATCTCTCGAAAGATCATTGGTCTACCAATCAGAGTCTGACTATAAATTATTACATGTCATAATGTTCTCGTATATACGTCATTCGTCAGCAGTGTTAATTAGAACTTTTCCTTTATAATAAATGTGATTGTATTCCTTTTTGATATAAATGACAGATTTTATAACGTTAGATGCTGTGTTGTGAAATAGGTAGTAAGTGTACAATATAAATTTCTTCACTAAAAACAGGTTATAAAAGAAACGAGGAAGGTAAAGTTCATAGAAATTTTATTCTTTTTCTTTTATTATGCTGTTGACTATTATTGTAAATTAATTAAATATTTAATTAAGAAAAATAAAAATTTTGAATCATAATTATATATTACTAGAATTGTAACATCACTTTTCGTTTTGAAGAAAATGTTTGTTTTTTATAAGTACCTATTGTTTTCTTAAAAATTAGTTACTATTTTTGAATATTAACTTATATTTCGTTAATACGCTTAGATAAATATCTATATTTGTTGATAAAATGCAACAAATATTGTTGAAAGTAAATTATTTTATTTTATAAATTTTATTCATGTGTACAATTTTTTATTGTCTGCATTTTTTAAAATATACATTTAATAACATTTTAACTGTTTCAATAATGATTTTTTAGTTAAAACATCACATATACAGGCACACTTAATTTTAACATACATATGTGTTTTATTTATATTTGTTGGTCAGTACCTTGCAGATTGATCAACAATCCATATAGTACAGAAAAAATGTAAAGTCTCTAATATAAATGGCTTGTAATATTTAAAAGAAAAATAAGATATAACTTATCATTTAACTTATAAAAGATTCAGTTGCAATTTTAATAGGAAAAATAATGTTAAAAAATGTGTATTTGTATATCATAATTTAAATACTGTTATGTAAAATACAGCTAATGTTTTTATTCACAAAGAATTAACTAAATTAAAAGATAGATGCAAAACAATTTGTTTTTGTGTAAATATATATTTAATAGAAATACTTAAAAGAATACTATTTGCATTTAAGCCAAAATAATTGACAATTATGTATTTTATTAATACTGTGTCAGCAAATGGAATTTGTCACATGCTATAGATTATCCACTTCTATTGCTGGATTATCATAAGCTTTCTTTGTTTCTCTGATTCCCTTTTCTTCAGCCCAACTTTGTTTTTCTCCAGATGCATATAAACCATATATCACAGCTCCAATTAAATAAATTGTACCAGAAATAATGAAAACTATCCTCCATTCTGCTGCACTCTATAAAGTACATTTTAATTTTATTAGATTTTGATACTGTAATAAAAATTTTATCAAATATGATTACATTAAAATTTAAATTTACCTTATTTTGAACAATATATCCAGTAATAATCGGACTTACAACACCAGGTAAAGTTGCAACAGTATTTCCTAGTCCCATAAGCACACTTGCATGCTTAGGTGCAATATCTAAGTGATTTACCCTGGAAAAAAGTAGTATTTCTATATTTAAAATAGAAGTTTAATTTTTAAATATTATGCATATTAAAAGTACAATATTCCATAATAAAAAATTATAATGAAGTGATTTCAAAAATAAAAAATATATTTTTTTTTCTTATATATTTTCTTTCTACATGCACATATTTATATTTAGACTTCGAAAAAAATTACCCAAAACCGGACCAGGCAAAGCCACCAAGACCAACTGCTATAGTGATACAAGTAACCACACCTGCAGACGTATAGATGAAGCCTGTGCAAATCATGAATATTGTTTGAAACAGAAAGGCTCCGCAATTAAACAATTTGCGTACCTAAAACAAAAAATATATTCTAACATTTTTATTAAAAGACACTTATATATTTATTTGTATATCTTTTCCAATTCGTAAGATAACTTTAATAGAGATATATGAGTAAAATAAGAAAGGCAGATTTGTTAAAAGACTCACTTATAAATATTATAAACAGACCTGTGTAGTCGTCAAAATTTTCTTCATTCTTAAGTAATCTGCTAAATGTCCAGAAAATTGGACAATGAATGTCATAACTAGATATGGTAGCGCGGACAAGTATCCTGTTTTATCCAATTTGAAATCGAGCACATCTAAAGATAAATCGCTTAAGTATAACATATACTATTTAGCATACTCGTTAGGTTATTGTACGAGTAGCAACTGAACGAACCATTCATAAATGTCGGTAACTGAGTGAGCATAGTGTAAAAGCCCCAATTTTCGCTAAAGTGTGCTGCAACAATTGCCCAAACTGGTGGGGATGTGAGCATAGCTTTCCATGGATGTGTAATTTTCTATATAATAAAAAATAACTCAAAATCATTTTGTAAACAAAAAGTGCGTAGCACCGTATCTTTGAAAC